ATGGGGTAAAAAATAAAGGGGAGAGGGGGCACCTTTGAACAGCGCTCATAAAATCTCGATTTAAAATTTTCCCGACCCGCAACCAAAATTTTTTATGTGCCAATCTTGTTCTTTATCTGCGTAAGCCATTTTGGCTAGCTTTTTCAGTGGTCGACAAAATTTACATGAGTGACTATGTTTTCGCACTGCAATTGTAAACTTTTCATTTTTTGGTTGTAAGGGCGCAGGAAGAATTCAGTGATAGTTTTCTTTCGATAAACAATTTGTTTGCATTCCAACAATCATTTCAAACATATCTAAAATTATTTTCTTTCATATATATTTACTACAAAAAAAGTTATTACAAATTTCCGTAAAATACCACAGGTGGGACACCTTTGAACATACCCAGTAAACTCCAGTAAAAAACGGAGTTTTTGACTTTTGGCTTCGATTTCTCAAAAATTTCAAATGGGATAATAAGATTACGAAATTAGATGTATTTTGCACCATATAAATTTTTGATTTTATGTCATTTTATGTTTTAATAAATTTTGATCGAATATTTTTGTATATATTTTTTAATAAGCATTAGAATGTGATTTAATTTTAAAATTAATTTTATTATGTTTACAAAGTGATTTAAGTTATGCTAAATCCATGGCATAATTACGCAAGGTAGTCTCATGCTGACATATGATTCCAATTTTTTTCATAAATTTAATTTGCTAATATTCAGTTTTTAAATTTTAATGAAAGTTTCCCCCTTTAAAATGCATGGGTGAATTGTGTTATATGGCAAAAAGTGCAAAGTAAAGTTTTGAATAGGGAGGCTTCCAGAGCCATTTTTGTGTCCTGACCACCAGTTGGAAATGTTGAACGAGACTCCCTCTTTCATTTTACCATCACTATAGGTTTGGGAGGCTTCCAGAGCCATTTTTGTGTCCTGACCACCAGTTGGAAATCAGAAATTCAACAACTTTGTTCTACAAAAAACTGAATTTGAACAAATGGTGCATACCAAAATACTCGTAGAGACTCCCTCTTTCATTTGGTACCATCACTTTGTTCGAGGTTTGTATAGGGAGGCTTCCAGAGCCATTTTTGTGTCCTGACCACCAGTTGGAAATCAGAAATTCAACAACTTTGTTCTACAAAAAACTGAATCTGAACATATGGTGGATACCAAAATACTCGTAGAGACTCCCTCTTTCATTTGGTACCATCACTATGTTCGAGGTTTGTATAGGGAGGCTTCCAGAGCCATTTTTGTGTCCTGACCACCAGTTGGAAATCAGAAATTCAACAACTTTGTTCTACAAAAAACTGAATTTGATCAAATGGTGCATACCAAAATACTCGTAGAGACTCCCTCTTTCATTTGGTACCATCACTATGTTCGAGGTTTGTATAGGGAGGCTTCCAGAGCCAGTTTGGTGTCCTGACCACCAGTTGGAAATCAGAAATTCAACAACTTTGTTCTACAAAAAACTGAATCTGAACATATGGTGGATACCAAAATACTCGTAGAGACTCCCTCTTTCATTTGGTACCATCACTATGTTCGAGGTTTGTATAGGGAGGCTTCCAGAGCCATTTTTGTGTCTTGACCACCAGTTGGAAATCAGAAATTCAACAACTTTGTTCTACAAAAAACTGAATCTGAACATATGGTGGATACCAAAATACTCGTAGAGACTCCCTCTTTCATTTGGTACCATCACTATGTTCGAGGTTTGTATAGGGAGGCTTCCAGAGCCATTTTTGTGTCCTGACCACCAGTTGGAAATCAGAAATTCAACAACTTTGTTCTACAAAAAACTGAATTTGAACAAATGGTGCATACCAAAATACTCGTAGAGACTCCCTCTCTCATTTGGTACCATCACTATGTTCGAGGTTTATATAGGGAGGCTTCCAGAGGCGGACATCTCTCCTGATTCACTGGATTAAAATGTTTGTGACTTAGTAATACTTTAGGTTTAGATTATAATAAAATATGTTTCAAAATCTTCGTATTTTTATTAGTTTTCATTACTAATGAATTATGTTAACATTTTTAGTAATAATTTAAAAAAAAATATTAATTTATAATATTCTGCGCTATCTCTGTTGGAAAGCACTGTTGATAAAAATAGTATTAAACGTGAAATTGTGATGTTCTGTGTCACCTTGTAATTTCGATAAAAAATTTTGTTATCGAAAGTTAGCGATATCGCTAACTTCACGCAGGTGATTAGGTATTCTGTAACACTCATGCGACGATGTCGACTATTTATCGATAATATCAATAAAAACAACAAAATTTGTTGCATATTTTTGGGCAAAAATGTGTTTGTATCCTTCACCGCACTGTGGCACAGGGTAAATGTGTTTGCAACGACCAAAAAGAAACGAGATAGACCCATAGTTACTTTTTATTATATAGGTACATAGAATTATTTTTCAGTCGATTTATGCATGTCCCTCCATCCATGTATTATTTTAAACAAGTTACATGCCACCATTATGATCCGAACGGGATGAAATTTGGAAAAGTGCATCCAATTGGGATGAAATTTTATTTGGCGCATAGACGATTCCTGTTGACATTGGTCAAAATCGGTTCAGATTTATATATAGATCCCACATATTTTTCTTTATTTACACTTTATTTTGCATTAAGTATTGAATAGATTCTAGAATGATGTATCCTGTTCTTGTCCGGTCATGTTTTTTTTTTAATTTCTAAAAAAAAGTGTTCAAACGCTTCAGTCGTCAACAAAAGCTATGACGAAGAAATCTTCGACATCGTCGTCGTCACACATTGTTACGGAATACCAAAAATGTTTCAATAGTTATCGATAAATGTCGACAACGACATAGGGAATACCAATTTGCAAAAGACGACTCTCTTCGACGTCGTTTCGTGTCGACGACGACATACGGAATAGGGGTGTATATATTAATAATCCAGAACCAGCGAGAGATTATGGTATAGAGATTATACCACCTAGCCCAGATGAGGTCAGAATAACAATTAATCGGCTGAAGAATAACAAATCAGCAGGTGCCGATGGGTTACCAACCCAGTTATTTAAGACCGGTGGTCAAATGCTGGATTGGAATCACATCATCCTGTGTCCCGTGAAAACAAAAGAGGGATTAGTCTATTTTTAACCGCATATAAAGTGATATACAACGTACTGTGTGAACGACTGAAGCCATACCAATGCGGCTTCAGACTTGGCAAATACACCATATACCAGATTTTCACTCTGTGCAAAATCCTGGAAAAGACCCACGAACAACACATGGTCAGCAATTAAAGTCGGAAAGAACCTCTCGAATACCTTCAATACCAAACTAGGGCGCAGACAAGGTGACAGCCTAACGTGTGACCTTTTGAACATCCTGCAGGAAAAGGTCATACAGAAATGAAATCAGTTCCAATCTTTTTTAACCGGATATGTTTGTCAGATACTCAATTTGGCGTACTCTGTGCTATCTCCTGAGGTAGGCAAATTGATGACATTCATAGTCGTCGTGATTACTTCAATAATTTCAAAACACTTTGGAACTGAAATTCGTGTTAGTTTTGGGTATATTGGCTTTCGAGAAATTAGTCAATAGCATACATATTCAAATGCTATCGAAAGAAGCAAGAATTCTCATATTATTTCCATCAGAAAGATAGACTAAGTGATGATATCTTGAAAATCGATCTTTATGAAACTGAATAAAATGTTTTTTTTTTTATTTTCTTGAAAAAAGTAATCTTTTATTAAAAAAGTTCTCTTTTGGTACCTTTTCACATTTTCCATCCCTGGTTCGAACATTGCGAGCGGTAACAGAAGCCTTCAACAAATTCCAAAGTGGGTCTGGCAATACGTCCAGTGGACTGGGACCAACTGTGGAACTTGAAAACTACAGCTTCGAAGTAGTCAACGATTTTATATACCTCGGTACCACCATAAATAAAACTAATGACGTTATTTTTGAAATTCGGAGGAGAATAGTGTTGAGCAACAGATGCTACTATGGTCTATGTAAACAATTCAGAAACAAGGCCCCATCTCTGATACTACCTGTGCTGGTGTATGGATCAGAAGCATGTGTACTTGTGCAAGCAGATGAGGCTGTTCTTAAAATGATTGAGAGAAAAATTCTCCGAAATATTTACACTCCGATGCGTCGACAGTGAATATCGGCGTCGAATGAGTCACGAGCTTTACCTTCTATAGAGGGACATCGGCAAAGTCAGTCGTATCGTGCCGCAGCGACTACGGTGGCTAGGCCATGTACGAATGGATGAGGATACCCAGCTCAAAAGGCATGGCAAGATCATGTGGAGGATGACATATAAAAGCATGATCTTTCAATTTGGAGAAATTGAGTAAAATATCGGCGCGCCTAGAAATCTTTTTTTTTAAGTTTGGCTTATGGAACAAATATTCTGTTCTGACGAAAATGACATTTTCTATACAATTTTCATATACACTTGATGAAAATTGCAATGATAACAATACACTAAAATGTGGATAGTTTAATGTTTTATTGTATATTCATTATTCGAATTGGTTCCAAGACATACATACATATTTTGAATATGTTGATTAGAATATAAACTGCAGTTATTGAATGTACTTGATATAAGTTATATGTAATTTTGTTTGTGAATGTTAATGAATATTGAATCAAATGATGTAATGACACTTAAATGATTGATGATAATTAAAATACATACTCACACAAACACTTTCGTGTGAAATGGAAATGTTATGATTTACAAACTAATGTTGTAATACTTAAAGGTAGATAAGGAAACGTATTCGGTAGTTGTCATTGTCATTAAAATAATACTTAAGAGATGTTTTTTTTTTTTTCTTAAAATGTAATATAATGTTGAAACGCCATTGGATTGTAGAATTCTTCTTTTGCTTTCCCTCATCTTTGATTGGCGTAAAACCCATTGATCCATTTTAGCAAACTTTCCATTAAATGATTATACAGCAATTTTACGTTATACTTTTATGTATTTTTCATTCACTGTTTCCTTCGGTTTCCTCGTCGAGTAGCAAACTTGTTGATCCATAATTACGGAGTCTATGAGAGGAAAAATAAGAAAAAAATGATTAACATAAAAATGCGAATGGGGAATTTGTTTAGATTTGTTAGTTACAGATGAATATACATACTTACAAATATATCAGATAAGCAAATTGTTGTTAAAAAAATACAAAAAAATAAAATGGTGTAGAAAAATAAAATTATAAAGCAGGCATAATAAACACTGTAAAAAAGGCCTTAAATTCGATCTAACCGATTTCGTATGTTCTTCGAGTACGTATTGTATTTGCCGCCTATAATTTTGTGTAGGGTAAAAATAAAAACAATACTTTTAAACACATATTACCAAACTTACTACACTAAGTAAATACGCTTTTATGTTTTTGTGTCTTCCATAATTGACAGTATGTTGACTTCAACAATACTTACCTCATCATCAGATACTTTAAGTCCATCTAGATTTATACTGTTTCTGGAATAATTTCCAGATGGAGCTGAGTTCGTATTTTCTTTGGCATATAATTTGGAATCAGCATTTCCACCACCAATACCGCTACCACCAACCGTCGAAGAACGTGAATGATCCTCAAACAATTGACGATTGATATCGTCTTTGGAAAGATTGGATGAGTTTGTATTCAGATTCGGAGAATTCGAATTACTCATATTGGTGCCTCCAATAGCTGTGCTAGTTTTCAGTGGCAATACTAGGTTGGCTCGATTATTTGGAGCACTGGTGTTTGAATTGGAAGCATTGCTATTGGTAGTGGATTGTCCACTATGTCTTCCAGATGACCGTTCACGTTGTTCGCGCTGGTGGTGATGATGTTGATGATGCAAATGCGACGGATTGTCAAATTTCTGTTTTGCCCTTTCGAATTCCAAATTACGACTTTTCGATTCAAAGATATTCTCCTCAACGTGTGAAGTTTTGGCGTCAAAAAAATTACTCGATTGTTGTTGCAAGAGTGTACGTTCGGTGTGACTGGAACGTTTCGACGAGGACGCTTCATTGCCACCACCACCACCCGTGGAATGACGTAGACCCACAACATTACTCTGTGATGGTCCATCGTCGAATATTTGCCGTAAATCATTAATGTTTGGCAAACAATCACTGGGTATTTCAACAGCAATTTTACTACGCAATTGAACGCCATTATAGCTTCCACCACCACCACGTAACTGGGGACTTGGGATACGTCTAATATTTAGTGTATTATATATAGTTATATATCGTTATTTTGCAATAGTTATATAGAAACAGAGAGAATGTTAGAAATGTACGTATTAATATTAGACACCCAGCAGCATTCCAAAAATGTTAAAAAAAAGTTAGAATGAGGGTTTAGTGAAATGGCCATCATTCATTCAAAATACGAACAGTAAAATAAGTTGTTATATAATTTCAAACCTTGTTTGCAAATGTTGTATTTGAACCTGTAAACCTTCATTTTGACCGACTAACTCATCATTGGATCGTTGCAAACGACGCACTTGATTAACGGCAGAATCCAATTCATCTTCGGCAGATGCCAATTCACGTTTGAGCTCTTCGACACGCTGTCGTAAACGTTTAACCTGGAAAGTAAAAAAAAACAACAAATATGTATATTTAATGACTAGTAAAAATAAATTATTAAAACTTTAACGGTATATTCCCATAAAAATCGATCGGGGTATCCAGGAGGAAACCGAGGCTTAATTGGAACCGTTATATATGGGCTGCTTTAAAAAGTTGACCAATATTGAAAGTTTTTGGAACCCGAAATACCAATTTTAAGTCAATTCGATTGAAAAAGTTCCCAACATCCCCAAAATACCGAATACCGTTGAATGTGAGGCCGATAAATCACATTTTCAATACCAATCATCCTAGGGGTATTGGCAATGTAAACCTCTATCTTAAATAGTGTGAGCATAGCTTTTATTCTTATTAAAAAAATTTACAAGGTGCTGCCAACGGAATTACAAATTAACCAGTAAGGAAAGTAGTAAAATAGTAAATAATACCTGATGCTATTCATGACCTTCGAGAGCCGGTTATCAAAATAGCTTCTTAATGCAAAGTAAATCTTAGTTCATCGGATATTCAACATTGCTGCTATATAACAAAAGGAAGGAAGGTATAAACACAATTAAATTTAACCAATACAGATGGTTAAATTTAATTGTGTTTATACAAGGGACTGCATAATGGCGAATTACCACAACAATTGTCACTTAATTCTCTCAGATATAATTGGTGGTGATATCAGAAATAAAGTATATCTTAATGACCACTTGCACGAAGCTGCCTCTAAGTTGTTGTATTTATGCCGCAAATTTAAAAGAGAGGATCGTAAAGTATAAACTAAAAAATTCGGACTTGCCAAAAGTGTATGTGGTTTACCCCAATGGCACTGAAGGAACTCTCCACTTATACCAATGTGCTGAATTTTCAGATCATGGTGGCTCTGATGGGATGCTTATCGCATCAACGCCTGTAAGGAATATGTAATTTATTATGGAACGAGAGTAGTTTCCATCATCTTCATCTTCTTTAACTTATCTTTTTTTTTTTGTTAAACGTATATATTATCTTTAAAATTTTCTGCGCTTATATATAGTTTTTTTATCTCAAATTATGAATTTAAATAATATTGGCGAAATTGTCCATGATAATCAATTTTTTCGCAATAGTTTCTCAAGCATAGAGCAAAATCTAAATTTAATGCATTTGAACTCTCAAAGTTTAAACATTTTTTCTAATTCATCAAAGCTTTCAGAAATCAAGAATATTGTTGAAGATAGTGATCTGGTTATAATCGGTATATCAATGTTTAATATTTTTGGTTACTCAGTCTGTAGAAATGATAGACCTGTTCGCAGAGGTGGAGGAGTTGGTTTAATAATTTCAAAAAAATTTAAATACAAAACTGTATATATTGGTAAAAACCAACATATTAAAGAAATTATAAAAAACAAAAGTAATTAGTAGTAAAAATTACTGATCAAAAAAAAAAATCCAAAAAGTGAAGTTTGTGTTGTCGCTAATAAGTGGAATTAAATGCTTTGTATTTAATATAACCAACATAGAGGGAAGAGCTGTGTCTGTTGAATGTTTATTTATTGAAATTGTGGAGAATTTAAGACATCTTTTAATAGGAGTAGTATATTTACCTAACAGTAATTTTGTTGAATTTGAGAAGAAACTTCCAGATCTCTTTGTACAGTAGAGTAATGTAATTACAATGGGCGATTTTAATAACAATCTGTTGATATTTCACTAGCTTCTTCTGTTCGACAAGCTAGTTCTAGAATTGGCTTGTCAATCATACATAATAATTATCCAACCCATTTGGACACTTTCCACCAATCTACATCATTAACCCTTTGACGTATTTCTACGAGTCTGACTCGTGGTACAATTTCTGTGCCTAACATGAATATGATTCGATTCTCATAATAATAAGAATAAAACTAGTTGATGCCGTGCTCAACATCTAATCTAAAATAAATAGTTTTTTTTTTCACATTTCGTTTCGTTTTGCGGCTGTTCTTAAGCATCAAAACCGGTTTACTTAGTGCATGTTGTGTGCTAACATTTGGATGCGAACTTCGTTGCGCTAATTGATACGTCAAAGGGTTAATTGATTATTTTTTAGTATCGCAGAAAAATTCTGTAGTTTTCTGGACAAGTATTATGCCCAAATATTTTGAAACGTGCACTTGTTTTATTGTCTTTTAAATGTCCTCTGAGGCTCAATGAAGCCTTTCATGAATTCATTGATTATAGCAATTACTGCAGTGACGGTGAATAGTTCCGGTCTGGATAGAATCTTCCTTACATCTAGTGTTAATGACCAATTAAGCCTACTTACCGAAAGACTAAACTGTATTCACAAAATATTTCTTTCTACACCAGCGATAATTGGATACGGTGTCCAGAAGTCCGTTATAGCGAATCTCTAACTGATCTGGCGTACAAAACTTTCCTTGAGGATAGATCGAAAATTTAATGCAAATTAAGGAATCGTACAAAGAATCTCAAAAGAAAACTGAAGAGAAACGCACATTCTCAACTTTTCGAAAAATGTACAGGTCCAAAGGACATGTGGAACGTTGTTAGAAACTGTGGTTTAAGGGAACCCCACCCATTCTCGATTAACTTTGCACATATATATTTGAAGATTTAAAAGAGAAGAAAAATAATTTACAAAAATGTTTGTTATTGTTGTCATCACTCCATAACTGTTACTCCAGGTTGTTAATGCATACCGAATCGGAATGCATTTGGGTCCACGAATACGTTCCTAATACGTTATATATTCAGTTTAAACAAAAAATAAACTGTATATAATTTCATTGACAAATTCCGATCATTATGATTCAGCATAAAAATGAATGGCATACACTTAAGGTCCCCGAACATAATACAATACAAATAAGGACAGTAAATATACAAATAACGAGCTTTCTTCGCCAAAAGAAATATTCCACCAGACAAAATGCTATTGCACAGTGACATTAATTTTTTTATTTCTGAATTTTGTTCTATATATTTAACAAACAAATAAACTAAAATAACATTTTTTGATATCATTTCAGCATAATGACGAGCAAAACAATTAAAAATTTCCAAAAACGAAGATTTATGTATATTTTTACAGTCGATACCAAATAAATGTAATTTTGAAATTTTTTCCTTATTTAAATATTCAAAAATTCCATACATACATAACTAACTAAAAATTCAATGGAAAATTGTATAACTAAAAAACGACATCCTGAAAACATAATAACGTTTCTACTACTCTGTTTCAAAACTATATAAATCTAATTGATTAAGAAATTGAAAAAAATCCACTATGTATTGAGTATCAAACATGGTCAAGTATTTATTTGAATATAAAAAAAAGTTCTCTGTATTGAGCATAGACTGTATAACAAAAACAATTCAGCGTGCGAATGGTATGTTGGTGTATTAACAAATGAGCATAAAGAGCGAATGCTGATAACATTTTATTATTTTTTCTTCGTCGTTTATCAAGAGAGAACAAAACAACATGTCATGTGTCTCCGTATCATTGCACAGCGTAGACCCCAGTCAGTCAATTGAGAATACTCTGGGAAAGCGGAGTGGTCGATAGAGACCTCAGCAGCTGTTTTTTGTATCGTCTGTGTGGGCCTTCGTTGTTGTTGTGCGCGTGAAACTTAATAATAAATACAATTATCTAACGCAGTAGTTTGTGCACAATATCAACATAAAGATTAACATGATTGCCCAGAACTTATTAACTAAACTGCGCCCATTGGTGTCCCGGGCAACTTTTGCCACAAAATCAACTGAGGTCCCCAAATTCAACTGGCAAGATCCTTTGAACTTGGAATCGCAATTGACCGAAGATGAAATTGCTATTCGTGATTCGTTCCACAACTATTGCCAGACTACTCTGTTACCCAGAGTGACAAAGGGGAATCGCGAAGAATATTTCCATAAGGAAATTATGGAAGAAATTGGTAGTTTGGGTGCTTTGGGTTGCACCCTAACTGGCTACGGCTGTGCCGGTGTCTCAAGTGTTGCCTATGGTCTCTTGACACGGGAAATTGAGCGTGTCGATTCTGCCTATAGATCAGCCATGAGTGTCCAAAGCTCTTTGGCCATGGGTGCCATTTATGATTATGGTACAGAGGCACAAAAAGAGAAATACCTACCCCGTATGGCTCAGGGAAAATTAATTGGTAAGTTATATGTATATGTATAGGTGCGTGTGTGTGTGTCTGGTGTTTTTGCGAATCAAGTCTCATGAAAACATTTGAATGATAACACACGCTGAAGTGTTTAATCACAATCTATGATAAGCGATAACATGAATCTTGTTGTTTGTTTCCAGGTGCTTTCGGTTTAACTGAACCTAATCACGGCAGTGATCCAGCTGGCATGGAAACTAGAGCTAAATATGATAGCAAAACAAAATGTTACATTTTGAATGGTTCAAAAACATGGATTACCAGTTCACCAATTGCTGATGTTCTGGTGGTATGGGCCAAGGGAGAAGATGATAAGGTTCGTGGTTTCATCATTGATCGCGAACAATCTAGCAAAGGCTTGGAGACACCCAGAATTCAGGGTAAATTTTCGTTAAGAGCCTCACCCACCGGTATGATTCTCATGGACGATTTACATGTACCTGAGGAAAATCTATTGCCCAATGTTGTGGGTTTCAAGGGACCTTTTGGTTGTCTGAATAATGCACGTTATGGCATTGCCTGGGGTGCTTTGGGAGCTGCCGAAGCATGCCTTCAAATTGCCAGACAATATACTTTGGATCGCAAACAATTTAAGCGCCCTCTCGCAGCAAATCAATTGATCCAAAAGAAATTTGCCGATGCCAGCACTGATATTGCCTTGGGCTTGCAAGCTTGTCTTCAAGTAGGTCGTCTAAAGGATCAGAAATTGCACACACCCGAAATGATTTCGATGATCAAACGCAATAATGCCGGCAAAGCTTTGGAAATTGCCCGCATTATGCGCGACATGTTGGGTGGCAATGGCATTTCAGATGAATACCACATTATTCGTCATGTTATGAACTTGGAAGCCGTTAATACCTATGAGGGTACACACGATATTCATGCTTTGATTTTGGGTCGTGCTATAACCGGTATTGCTGCATTTGCAAATTAAAAATATAAGCGTATTATACATTCGTTTGAAATGCATTTATAATAACGCACTAGTTTTCGGATCTATGTTTAAGACCCGAAAACAAGTGCCTTAATTTTTTTAAGTAACAATGTACGTATGATATTTCAATTTTAAATAATAATAATATTAATAATCTAATACAAAATCAATCGAGTTGTAAATAACTAAATAATAAACCTACATAAACATAATACATGTTTTCATTAGTAAATACTACTCAACGAAGAAAATTTATTTAGTTTCAACAACAGCGTCTGAAATGCAGGCTTAATACTAATGAAATTAAAGGCAATAATTTTATATTCAAAACAATTTTGAATGAATGAAATTTCGAAAGAAATATTCATCAAAATTATAAATATTTACATAAAGCAACTTCCAATTATGGTCATTCTTCAATTTGCTAAAACAAAGCCGATAACTTGTAACACTATGTTGAGGTTATTTATTTCTGAAGTCCAGTCCCTGGCTTACGTTAGTGGCAGTTTGTAAAGAGAGAAGAATGATCGCCACATATCATCTAAGAACAAAGAACTTTTTAAAAAATCCTTCTATTTTTTGCAATAAAGATATAATAAATAAATTAAAAAGTTCATAAAATAAATGCTGAAACATTCTCCCATCTTCTAAGAAGAGCCCGCGAATTTCTGCCTAGTCATGGTAATTTCTGATTCTTACCTCCTTTTGGATTCTTTATAGAATATGTGCATACCACAGTATACAAATTGTATTATTTATGTTTATTATTTGTGGTTTTCTAGCCCTCCTGGCGGGGGGTTTAACCTTTTCGAGTTTTGTGCCTTATTTTAAAGCGAAAGATAATTCGTGTAATTGTTTTTATTTATTTCTTTTTCGAGATGTGCCAGAGAGATACAACATCCCCCATATTATGCGACGAGTTTCGCCGTTCGTTAGGTGGCTCATCAGGCATACTGTTTTATGTTATATTTATGTAAATCACAGTTGCAAACCAAATTTACCTCGTCATACAGGATATAGGTATATTTCTTAAAAGCCAAATAGTATTTTTTCATTTCCTTTTGAAATGGTAATGTGTAGCATATAATTTTGAACTTTAAACTCATTGAATTTCGATTAGAATTTAATTTTACATATTCCACAAGGTATTGCATTTTACTACTTACCTCAGCTTCATATTGTTCAGCCCGTCGCACGGCGTGACCCAATTCGGTATTAGTTTCGGCTAACAATTTTTTCAACTTGGAATGTGAAATTTTCAGTTCACTTAATTCCTGAAAAAGACAATAGCATCGATCAAGTTAAATAATATGAATAAGACTTACAAACTATTTACCTTTGTTTTTTCAGACAACTCTTGTTGTAATGCCCGAACTTCAACATCAGTAGCCGGCAATGGTCGACCCTTACGATCAGATCGATCTTGCAAGTCACGAATTTCACTACGTAATTTTTTGTTATCACGTTCCAGGCCTAATTTTTCCGTCTCCAAACGTTCACGTTTTCCCCATTCCGAGGCATTCTCAGCCTGAAGCCTTTCAAGTTCTGTACGTAGTTCACCCAAACGTCTTTCAAGATTTTCTCGAGATGCTACCTCTTCGGCCAAAGAATTATTGATAATACGCATTTCGGCCCGATGAGATTCTTGCAATGTTAACAATTCACGCACAGCTTCCTATTTGATTTATATTTTGTATTAGTAACTGAAATAATGTAATGAGAGCATAAAACATATTTACCTGTTTGGCTGCTCTCAATTCTTCTTGACGATCACGGACTTCCTGTATTTCTAATGATAGTTTTTCAATGTTCTTATGCAGAACATGTTTTTCACTGCAAACAAATTAAATTTTTATAAGTATTAAATGTTCTATGTCAATTACAATTTGATCTTACTCTCTTTCAGCTTGCACAGTTTTCTGGGCTTCATCTAATCTCAACTGCAACATAGATATTTTTTGAAGCAAATAATCTTCATCAAAGTCATCCTTAGATAGTTGTTGTATTAAACGCTTTTCTTCGGCAGACACTTCATCTACAATTGGATAAACATTTTTTAAATGATAAAATTAGTGAACGATATAGAGATATATATGGGAAATGACAAAATTCTTTTAAAATTCCATTAAAAAAATTTGAAAAAATTTTTTGCGAGCACATTCTTGATTTTTGGTACATAGGTTAAGGAAAATATGCTGATTCAAAATCTGTTCGCGTTCACAAATTCGGATGCGGCGCACAAAAGTTATAGCGGTTTTAAATCTTGTATTTCAAATATAAATTAAATTAACTCCTATTTGTTGTAATTCGCGAATTTTCTCACAAATGGTTAAACACATTTGTATCTTTGCATTACTAGGCAAATCACATTGAAATACGGTTTGATAGTCGCGAAAAACAAATAAAAACTTGAAAATATGTGAAAATAAAATAAATTCATTTTTGAATTGTCACAAAATGTTTTTTTTTTAATTTTTGATTTTTTGGTATGGTTTAGATAATACGGTTTAGTCTAGATCTTCTACAACACGTGACGATTTCTTCTACAAATTCTTTTAGATGATTTTCACGCAACGTGCATACGATTTTTATGCGCATCCGATTTCAGTAATCTCCTATGAAAATACACAAAAGGACACGGATGGGCTCATTAGATCCGGTACGTAAAAAAACTAAAATCACGCAGGGTTCCACAGAATTTGAATGAACTTTCTTAATTTTAGACTCAAAAATGATCTTTTTTATAAAAATTCTCGCACCAAATTTTCGTCTTTGGAATCTAATTGCAAAGAACCTACGGTGAGCACATTCATGAGATATACACTAAACGAAGTAAAATCACGAGTTCTACAATCCTATAATCAGTTTTATCCATTACCTGGATGCGCATCCTAATTATAAGAAAAATTCAAAAAAATACCGAAAATCCGGCTTCAAAATGTCAGCATCCATTTAGGGTGGATGCAGTGATTATATCGAAAAATCATTCATTAGAACCATATTGTCCATGGGGTATTCTGCAACTTAGTCACTGATAACATATGCGTGCGTTGTGTAGTTTAGCCACAAATCAGGAACGAACACAAAAAAACTCGTTGGCTTCAACACATTTTCACCCATGTTTTTACATTACCACCATCACAGCTTCCACCAAACTTATTATTTTGTTACCAATATTTTAAGATTTTGACAAGAACACTTCATTTTATAGAAATGAATTTAAATTATATGCAATATGTTCATACTTCGCGAGTTATAACCTTGCAAACCTCAGCTTCAAGGAATTTAAAAGATTTTTGTAATTTCCCATATGTAGTTTAAGGATTGGTCGCAATCATCGGCCCTCCCTCAAAAGATATTTTTTATTTTTATAAAATAAGATTCTGTGGCGAAGCCGATTTTGGCATCTAGTCACAACACTTAGATACTTGCTGCTATGGCCAGAAGTCATTTCGAATAAGGCCGGATTTCTCCTATCGACAGAATCTCATTTTATGGACTTCTTCAAAAACAAATTAAAGTTTTTTAAAGGTTCAGTAGTGTTTAGCGGGTTATTTGGGATACCATTTGTACTTTGTTTTTGCAAAATAGTCAGGCTTAATCCCAGTTTGTTGTTTTTATAAAAAACTATTTATTAGTGGGGAATGTATGGCATTGTCCGCCGAGGGGTAAGGCAGGGAAGACTATAGTTTCGGATCTCGCCACTGATCCTCATCAGTTCCCTTAGTTTTTTGTTGGGATATTCTCCCCAGAAGCTATTAATAGCTTCTTTACAAAAAACCTTTCAAACCCAAATGTCTCTTGTGACAATTCGAAGTTCTTACGTTACCAGCGATACGACCCTAATGAGAAGTTCGTTTCGTTGGCGCCTGACTTCGTGGTCAACAAGGCATTTACAGACAACTACAATACATTTCCCACTGCTATGTGTCGTCACTTTGTGACGAATGCACATAACGTTGTTGTTGGCATTGCTAGTTAAAGCAATAAACCAAACAGTATGACCGTGCCTCGTCTACAACTTCAGTAGTGTTTAGCGGGTTATTTGGGATACCATTTGTACTTTGTTTTTGCAAAATAGTCAGGCTTAATCCCAGTTTGTTGTTTTTATAAAAAACAACTATTTATTAGTGGGGAATGTATGGCATTGTCCGCCGAGGGGTAAGGCAGGGAAGACTATAGTTTCGGATCTCGCCACTGATCCTCATCAGTTCCCTTAGTTTTTTGTTGGGATATTCTCCCCAGAAGCTATTAATAGCTTCTTTACAAAAAACCTTTCAAACCCAAATGTCTCTTGTGACAATTCGAAGTTCTTACGTTACCAGCGATACGACCCTAATGAGAAGTTCGTTTCGTTGGCGCATGACTTCGTGGTCAACAAGGCATTTACAGACAACTACAATACATTTCCCACTGCTATGTGTCGTCACTTTGTGACGAATGCACATAACGTTGTTGTTGGCATTGCTAGTTAAAGCAATAAACCAAACAGTAAGAACTTCGAATTGTCACAAGAGACATTTGGGTTTGAAAGGTTTTTTGTAAAGAAGCTATTAATAGCTTCTGGGGAGAATATCCCAACAAAAAACTAAGGGAACTGATGAGGATCAGTGGCGAGATCCGAAACTATAGTCTTCCCTGCCTTACCCCTCGGCGGACAATGCCATACATTCCCCACTAATAAATAGTTGTTTTTTATAAAAACAACTAACTGGGATTAAGCCTGACTATTTTGCAAAAACAAAGTTTTTTTATAAGGATTTAAACTGTTCAATAATATCTACGAACTCCGGAAACAAAGCGTCATTTCTTAAATGTACTCATAGATTGCTTACCCATATCTGCCAAATTTTTCGGCATAGCCCCCTTTAAAATAAACTCCTCGATGTCAAGATCTTTCAAGTCACCGCCCGCTGACTTTGTTACTAAACCATCTTCACTATTAACATTTTTCAGACCATCAGAAGACATATCCGGCGAATTGTTGGAGTCTCGAACATTTCCTTCAGTTTCTTCTCCCGTATCGGCCACACTAAATGAAATCCTTTATTAGAATTTTTTATCTATATTATGGAATTGATTTAAAGCCTACCCGGATTTATGAAATTGTCCTGCATGTTTCATCATAAGCGAATGAACCTTCTCCATTTCCTTTTTCAGCTGAGAAATTTGTATTTCGAGATCATTTTTCTCGCGTTTATAAGAGTTGGCCTCCTTCATTGCCATTTCCAAGCTTGATCTTAACTGTTTCGCTTCTTCTCTGGCTTTGTTACGTTCATTCCGAACCTAAATGCAATATGCAAGGATATACATTAATATGTGTATGTGTTTGTATTGACATAACAAATTTTTGGTAACCACAGAAATGCGGTTTGCGTTGCTGAGCTTTTAAGATTTACCTTACTCCATTTTTCTCGCCAATTGGCTGTGCAATCCGACCACCACTTCATAGTCTTTTCCATCTGGGCCGCCCGTGCCCGAGCTTCTTCCAATTCGCGCTGTCGCTGAGACTGGATAAAATAAAATAATTTAATATTAAAATCCTCATTTATAATATCCTGAATATTCTGATTAATTGTTGTGATACTAACTTCGCGAGCCTCCCACTCAGTATCTCCATAACGAGTGTTGTTTACTTGTTCCATCATGCTTTAGATTATTTTAACAAAACGTTTAATCTTATTCGTTCTCGATCATAACAAGCTTAAAGTCTTGTTATAGAATATTTTAAAACAATAAAATAAATTATTTCAACCTCCAATAGGCATTTTTTCGCCAATCAAACACAAGTCTCTGCAGAAAAGAAATATTGAAAAACGTTCCACCTTTACGAATGGGATGGGATAAGACAAAATGCCCTGTAAAGAAGAAGTCAAAAAAGAAGACGGAAAGTTACGAATGAGGTGGGATGGAGACTAAAAAGGAGTTGCATTGTTTACGAATGAGGTTTAAGGAAAGGATGAGAGTAGCAAGGGTAGCTCACATTCAGAGTTTGCTAATTACAACCCTGTAAACCTGAGGTAAAAGCAAACGAGCCGAGGACCAACCTGGCGAATGAGAGTCTAAACGCAACCATAGAGTCTAGAGTCAGCGACAGTTGTTTGCCGTGTGTTTCTTATTGGCAACGGGAAATCGCGACGGCTCACGTTCGCGTCTAGCGGCTTGACGCTAGAATATATTTTATTCATTAAAAATCAACTGTGCTACCAAATTTCAATGAGAATTTATATCAAAACATATGCCAGTGGACGTTTTTTAACAAATTAATAATAAAATGGAATAAAAATAATTTTTTCAATAACTTTCCCCAAGTTCCTTGACATTATTGTTTATTAAATAATAAATTGATTTTGGTTTGCACAACGTATAATATTCTGTCAGAAAAGGAAAACAAATAAATGACATTTTGTGCCGCTAGCCGCTAAGAGTCTCAACGCACCCAGAGCGTGTAGAGTCAGCGACGATCGTTTACCGTGTATTTATTGACAAAGGGAAATCGCGACGACTGACGTTCGCGTCTAGCGGCTTGACGCCAGAATAGATTTTATTCATTTTTGCTCAGCGTCATACTCAAATTTTCTCTCTTGCTCTCAATTGAGTTTAAAATATGGCAACTCAATTGAGAGCAAGAGAGAAAAACGTTTAATCAGCAGTGCCAACATTTCAGTGGAAATTTATATCAAAACATATGGCAGTGCTGTTAAAAAAACAAATATTTTCAAACATGTAGACGTTTTTTAACGAAATTATAATAAAATGAAAGAAAATTTTAAAAATAAAATGGAAAAAAATAATTTTTCACAAGTTCATTGACATTATTGTTTATTAAATAATAAATTGAATTTGGTTTGCACAACGTAAAATTTTTTGTCAGAAAATGAAAACAAATAATTGATATTTTGTGCCGCTAACTCTTTCTTTTGGTTTTCACGCCGGCGAAAAAGTATGCCGCTGACTCTAGACTCTCTGGTTGTGTTTAGACTCTAACTCTTTCGTTTGGTTTTCACGCCGTTATGACGCTGACTCGTGACTCTCTGGTTGTGTTTAGACTCTAACTCTTTCGTTTGGTTTTCACGCCGTTCAAAAATTATGACGCTGACTCGTGACTCTCTGGTTGCGTTTAGATGAAAGTTGAAAGCAAAAAGCAAACGAGACGAGGACCAACCGTGGCGAATGAGAATCAAAACAAACGAAAGTTGATCAGGTGTTTGTAGTTCCGGAACGAACTAGTTCATTGAATGACACTTCGTTTGGACTAATCGATTAATCGACTTTTTGTATTGAAAAATCTAAAGGGCTAAACAGAATGTTCGCGTTGAGCGTTTTTTGTTATCGCGTTAAATCACGCAAAAAGTTAAAATATATTTAACTCCAAAGCGCAGCGCACATCAACTTCGAGCGTTTGTGTTATCGTTTCCTTGTGGTTGTTGTATTTTCGATAACACTTAACGCAACGGATGGCTTAACGCGAGCGTTCTGCTTAGCCCTTAAAAGTCGAAGTCGACTTTTGATCTATGAGAAAATCGTAAAGTCGACTTTTCAAACTTTTTTCAAAGATCGACTTTAGATTTTCTTCATAAATACTTGGTTTTTTATCACAAAGCTTAAATTGGCCAAAAATTGCACTTTCCGGAACTATACATTTTCTGTTCACAATAATTCATATAAAAAATCAGTCAAAGTCGAAAATTGATTTTGAACAGTTTTGACAAATTCGAAAGATCGAAAAGTTGACTTTTTAGTCAAAGGTAAAAATCGAAAAGTCTAAAAATCGACTTTTTGGTTTAATTAATTTACTTTTTCCGACTGTAGTATGAACACATATCTATTTACTTTTAATTCATGTTTTCCATTTTTTCTGAAAATATTGTTGTTTTCATACATTTTTATATTTTCTAAATTCAAATATCATATATAAAAATTTTGAGAATTTTTTTGTTTGCGATTCCCTAAATTTGTTTCTTGTTTTGTACGTTAATTAGAACCAAGGGGAAAGAAATTCATATTGCATTATTTAGATAACAACATTTACATACTGCTGCATATATAAAAACTAAACAAGTTTTTATTTTTCATTCATCATTTTCCGTTTTGCTAAAATAGTTTGAAAATTTTATAAATATTTTCAACCTGCCAAAATTAATTTATTTTCGATAAATGCTCTCAATTGTTAGGGATGGGAGAAAATTCTTGATTATTCAGGGAGTGATTCGAATTGAACAATGTACAAAAGTCGGTGTTCGCTCAGAAAATTTTGTATGGGGAACTAAGTAATTACTTCATAATTAAGGGTCGAACGATGAATGAGAGAGCGAACAACGCTCGTCTGTACATGGCATAAAAGTCGACTTTTGCGCTCGACTACGTATCCCCAAGGTCCAAGGTGTATTTAATAAGGTGTATGCATTAGATACAACAACAAATATTTTACAAAAACAACATTGTTGTTATAGAAATTAAATTGTCATGCTGACAATAAGTTTTTGACAAAAATAAACAAAAACAATTATTAATTTATTTTTGTCAAGAACTATTCTTTGAGGAATAATTAATGAATTTGTGTATTCATGGGTCAAGGTGTCACTTACACATTATTAAATACACCTTGCGTATCCCTATCCTCAAACATGCATTCACAATAAAATGATATCTATATTTTTCATGAAAGTTATATTCAATAAGGTAGATGCGTCATATCAATTTTTATTTATTTATTTGACATAAATCGAAAGGAATATTTAAATAATAAAACAAGTGATCTGCCCCAGAATCCACAATTTTTTACTGCGATAACAATTTTCCTTCATGGGGCTTCACTAAAGCCGTGATAATATGGGGAGTCACTAAAGCCATGATAATATGGTTTATAACTTTTTCGTGTTGTTTGTAAAGCCAATTGTCACATACACTTTACGACGTTTTATTTCCTATAAAATTAAATAATGACCCATAACAAAAAAAAAATACTTTTATAGGAACACAACATTTTTGACATTTTTGTAATTTCCCAAACGTTGAAACATGGCATATTTATACAATGTATGGTCTGTTCCCGTACTGCAAGAATCCACTAATTTTTACTGAGAATTTTCCTTTATGATATCGAAGAAAATAGTAAAATCGGGTAGATTGTTGCCATATGTTGTCATATGTTTGCAAATTTTTCATAAATTTACTATTGACAACATTCACCTTTCAAAGTTTAAATGAAAGTACCTTCCTTTGAAATGTACACACATCATGTGTTCAATGACAAAAATATTTAATATTAATATTTTTAAGTTCCCGTTCTTATAAATATAAATATAAATATAAATATAAAGGCGGAAACACATAAGAGGATTCGATCAGTGCATGTTAAGTTGGCATTGTAGAGAGTCAAACTTGATTATACTTTTACATTAAAAGTCACACATTTTGTATATGACTTTGACAAACCATGTGTAGTGCTATATGAGTACACAAATAAATTTGCCTTCAAAAGTTGCTGCTATTTACTATTTATTGTCGCCTATGAATTGCAAAATATCATTGGAAAACATAATCGACATATATCTAGTTCTTGGTAAAGCACATTTACATAACATAGAAAAAAAATCAGGATTTAGGGTTGTTGCATCATTCAATTCCCAAAATCAGCACAATTTTATGTCATTTACCACACAAAAATAAATTGCGATTCCAGCATCATTTATTTTAAACAACGCCCTAAACACTCTCTCATGTGTTCCCCCCTAAGTTGTAACACTTATTTTCAATAAATTAAAAAATATATTTTTTTAATTTATTGAAAATATGCCAATCGACATACATAAAATTTTATAGAATTTATTTTTCATTTTATTAGTCCCACATAACTCAAATTCCTTTTAAATTGTGATTTGTTTTTTTGTGGGTGGACGTACTACTCCCGCGACATACGCTTATGGAAAAACTGCAATTATTATTGAAATTTTATTAAAATCAAAAACACTTTTAACGCTTTCATTGCGTACATTTACGTATTTGACAGAAAACGCCACTACCTACAGAGTTGCTTTTTTCACCTCAAGTTGTCCTACCTTGTTTCCTTGTACCATGTTTAAAAAGTTAATTTTACAAAGACCGTATGCATTTGAAAGCAACCTCACCAGGCAACTATGTGTTTACATTTGGAATGCACCGACCACGGAACTTCCCATGTAGTTAAATTGGGATCGGCTCTTTGTAACAGAGCTTAAAATGAATCAGACCATTTTTTTTTATTTTTATTAAAATATACAGCTCTAGCTTACTCAAAGGCCATTTTCCATGATATAATAATAGAAGGTAATCTCATTTGAGAAATTGATATCGACAACCCTTTTTAATTGTAGTTCATCTATCAATATATGTTCTGTTCCCGTACTGCAAGAATCTACTATTTTTTACTTAGATAGCACTTTTTTCCTTTATGATATCGAAAAAAATTGTAAAATCTCGTAGATTCTTGCAGTACGGGAACAGACTAAAAATCTGTAAAATAATTTCCCAAAAAAATTGTATGCATATCGATTGGCATATTTTTTAACATATTAGGATAAATTCTCCCAGTATGCAAGCATAAGCATCTATTGCCTCTTGGAACCAATTTTCAAAATTCTTAATGTTAAAATTTATAAATATATAAGCTCTATGTAGACTATTTTGCGGAATAACAAATTTTACCATATATATATATAATAATAGTAATTTTGTTGTACAAAAATCATATGATTTTGTGTTTGCAATTAAAATATTTTGAGGTCACATTTTAGCAAAGAAATATTTAACAGTTTTCGTCGAAGGTTTGCTCAATGTGACCTTTACTTACCCTGCGTTTGGAAGCAACAGGACAGTCGATGGCAATTGAGTTCATGCATTAATTGTCAAAAAATTAAAAAGTGTCTTTGTAACGTAGGCGTCCAGAAATAAATTAGAAATAATTATATTAAAATAAAATTATACATTTTTTCAATTTTTTTTAATGTGCAATACGTATCGGCCAAGTTTTTAAACTTAATTAAAGCGATGTACACTCTATCACTTTTGAATTAAAGATTGGCCCAATAAGGTGAGGAAATGTAAATTAAAATTCAGAATTGCAACATTCGTGAACTGATATTGAAAAAAAATTCATATATTCCTTAGATAATAATATAGTAAAAAATTCACATAAACAAAACACCAATTATAAGACGTTAAAGTAGAATGCATTTTCTGAACTTATTTAACTTATTTTACCCAAGACATAATTATACAAGGTAGACTCATGCAGTCATATGTTTCCAATTTTTTCATAAATTTGCCTTTGACAGTATTCAACTTTTAAAATTTAAATGAAAATATCTTCCATCGAAATGTACGCATATTATGTTTTCAGTGGTAATAATTGCAAAATAATTTATATTTATAAATATTTTGCTGGTTAAATATCTAACCAGCATTCTTTCACAGCATATTTAAGGAATTTACAAAAGAAAACATTATAAAGAGTCATACACCTTTGCCACAGGAATCTCATATACGTGCAAGCCGTCCGTGGTAAATTATTTATATTTTTGTCAGAAAATCAAGTTTTTGTTTACTTCGAGGCTGGATGGAAGCGTTATCCTGGAGAAAATTATATCCTTCTCTTTTTAATCAAAATGTGTTACTAAAACGACGTCTAATAATTCATTATGCATTTAAGAATCCATTTTGGTGGACACATCACAAAGTGAAAGCTTACATTCGTACGAGTATGTACACCATACCATGTGACTTCCCGCCAGAAATTCGGCTTCGATCTTACCACATGTTTATGATCATTTACAATTTATTTGTCCACTCCATATGCATTTATCAAATTCCACTAATTTCATTTGTAAGCGTTCGTTAAACGTAGCTTGGTTATTCGTTGAGTCCATCTTATTTAAGAAGTAAACTTTAAGTACCGTGAAATGGTACGTATTGTAACAGATAGCTAAAAAATTTCCTTAATTTTGTTGTTGGAATATCGATTTTTAGCTGGTTTCTTTCGAATTCGTCCTTTATCTCTTAAAGCAGAATTGGAATTGTCTTTGCTGATGGTTTTACACCACAAATGTTCCTTTTTTAGACCCTTAATGTAATTACCCACTCTGAATGATTTATTTATTTTCCAATTTTTGTATTAGAATGTCCATATTTCCTTGTAGAATTGATGATATTTATGATGACAATAGCTTAACCGAACCCATTTATGCAAAAAATATAAGTAATTTATTACTTTTTTCTTTTTTGATTTACTTTGATTTATTACAAATATTTTTGATCCATTATTAAGTCTAAGTTTGTTTATTACGCTATTTTTATTGCATTTCAGTTATTTCAAAGTGTATGTTTGTATTTGATATTCGATACCTTATATTCACCATTTTGTTTAAAAAAAATATATAAAAATGTGTTTTCATAGTAAAATCGCATATGCGCTCAAACGAATGTCCACTACTGTACATACAATTTTGTGGAATTTATTTTTCATTTTATTTGAAATTGATATATGAATTCCATATTAAAAAGGGTTGCAATTATCAATTTCTCAAATGAGACTACCTTCATAATTGTGCCATGAATTCTACCATTTTTACTTTGCCATGATTTTTTTTAATATTTCATAGCTCTTCTTGTGTAAATAAATGCTAAGCGAATACAAGCTCCAAATGAAAGCCATGGCAACTCTATGTGTGAACAGAGTTGTATTGGTGGGCATATGTTGGGAAGTGTTCAGAAAAGTTTCGTTAAAATAATTTCATGGTGTTGCCATACAGATAAAAAATTATATATGTAAAATGAAAAATATTTGTAAATACACAACTTTTATTTGAAGAAAACTTAAAGTTGACATTATATTCATGGCTGAAGCTTTTTAATATGATGTATTTTCGCTAAAACATGATATTTTTGATTTTTCAATAAATTCAATATGGCAACATCTTGTACAAAATTGTCGTGAACACTGCCAAAAATCTGTCAAAACTTAACGAAAAATTACTGTTCAGTTGTCATTTTTCGGCTTCCTTTCTTTTTTGATATCGCAATCAACGTGACTCGTTCTTTTTCCGCTTTGAACTTTGAAGATGGCGGTCGGTAAAAATAAGGGACTCTCCAAAGGAGGCAAAAAAGGTGGCAAGAAGAAGGTCGTAGATCCCTTCTCCCGCAAGGATTGGTACGATGTTAAAGCCCCCAACATGTTTGTTGTTCGCCAAGTTGGCAAAACCTTGGTCAACCGTACCCAGGGTCAGAGAATCGCCTCTGATTACTTGAAGGGCCGTGTCTTCGAAGTCGCTTTGGGCGATTTGCAAAAGGACAACGATTCCGAACGTTCTTTCCGTAAATTCCGTCTCATCGCCGAAGATGTGCAAGACCGTAACATCTTGTGCAACTTCCACGGTATGGATTTGACCACCGATAAATACAGGTACGAGCGTGCTGCCCAAGAATAAAATGTGTTCAATGTGTGGTGAAAAGAAAAACGTGTTCGCTCGCAATAGTGCTTGAATGTAGAAAACAACAAGACAGTGGACAACAAAACAAAAAAGTGCAATAATAGTGATGAACAAGAAATAACATTAAATAATTAATAATGAAAACTCAAGACTATAGTAATGGTCCATATATATAAAGAAACAACATGTGTTTGTTCATTTAGCATAATTGCTAATATACATGTGTGTGTGTGTGTTTGTGATGTTACACTATGCGGCGTTCACTTGATTTGTTTATGGTGTATACAATTGTTGTAATTTAATAAAAATGTGTTATTATTGTTGTTGTAGTTACTAATCTATTGCATTTTGTATTTAACCCCCATTCCAGATCCATGGTCAAGAAATGGCAAACCCTCATCGAAGGTATTGTTGAAGCCAAGACCACCGATGGCTACTTGCTCCGTGTCTTCTGCATCGGTTTCACCGCAAAGGATCAACAATCCCAACGCAAGACCTGCTATGCCCAACACTCTCAAGTCCGTAAGATTCGCGTCAAGATGCACGAAATCATCACCGAAGAAGTCACCAAGTCTGACTTGAAGCAGTTGGTTGGCAAATTGGCTTTGGACTCCATTGCCAAGGATATTGAGAAGAAGTGCCAACGTATCTATCCTTTGCACGATGTCTACATCCGCAAGGTTAAGGTATTGAAGAAGCCCCGTTTCGATTTGTCCAAATTGTTGGAATTGCACGGTGATGGTGGTAGCAAGAGTACCGAAGCCGTTGTCTCGGCTGAAGGTGCCGTCATCGACAGACCCGAAGGTTATGAACCTCCAGTACAAGAGTCTGTTTAAGAAGTTTATATTTTAAATGCATAATACCTGGAAGTAACATTCGTTGTAGAAAATGTTTTTTCTAATTTTGAAGAAAAGAATGAAAGACAAAACTTTTTGCAAAGTTTTGAGTTAAAAAAAACATGATTAAATTTTTGTTATTTCAGCAGCATATGGGGGAAATGGTATGGTCATAACCACTGCACTAAAATATTTGTTGTTGTTTTGTTTTGAGAGAGCATTGCTATAGATAAGAGAGGCAACATTAAGGGTGACACAACAAACGTACTCTGCGATGCAGTTGTCCGCCCATGTGTGTTGTTGTCATAGGTTGTTTGTTCGAAGGGAAGTCGTTCTGCTTTCTTGTTTTCTTTACAGACTTTCAGTTGGGCTAGACGCTTTGAAGAGAACACACGCATTCATCGGAGAAAAAAAAACATCTTGTTTCAACAAAAATGAGGTGAGTAAATTTATCTATAATATATTTTTTAATGTCTTTGAAATGATGTTTAATTATTTTTCGTCGCTGACACTTTTTTGAAATACTACAAAAAAGAAATGAATGACAATTATTTGCTGATAGTTTCAAGATGAAAATAAATTGTGTATTCTTTGTTGGAGTTATAGCTAATGTATACCTTCTTTTTGTTTTTCTTTGTAGATATCCAAACAATAGTTGGTTGCAATGTATGGGTGCACCACCTCCCTAAATATGATGTCAACATCCAAGGGGAATATTTTTCTTTGTGATAGGTAAGCATTTTTAATTTTTTGATAAATTCTAAAAATTTATAGTTTAAACATGATGTTGATTCTTTCGAATTATTTGCTACTCTTGATGCAGTATGATGAAAATTATATGCTGATAATTTTATTTTTTGAAATTTTTATACAATATTGTAAAATTACTTTCGATGCATTTCTAACGATTTTTTTTGTCTATTTCAGATACAAAAAAATATTGCCGACATGACGATTCGAGATATTCAATTTTTGAAGGTAAGTTTTTTTTTACAATGACAATTTAAGAGTTATTTATATTGTACATGATGTTCATTCGAATTATTTGCTACTCTTGAAGCAACTTGATGAAAACTAATTTAGCTGATGTACCCAATTATTAGTTACAAGTTTTAATTAAAACTATGGAAGAGTATTAACAATTCTTTTTTACTTTTTTTACAGATTATTGTACCAGATTAAAAATGTGATAACATGAACTTTTGATTGATTTAAAGGTATGTTGTTCAATACTATGAAATAGATATAAAATTAAAAAATATATATTTTCATAGTAGATTATAAATATGTTAGAAATTTGTTAAACTTTCACAAAAAAGACCTTTTTTTAATTTTATAGTTAGTCGAAGGCCTACCACACTAAAGTGATTTCATAAAACTTTGTGGTTTCAAATCGAGTTCCTCAATTGAAATTTTGTTTAAATTACCTAAATTCGTGTAATTTATTTAATTTGTTTCATGAAATCAATTTATGGTGCCTTTGGAAATATACTGATATATTAATTTTAAATTCAATATTTTCATAGACTATATTTTTTTTCTTCGGCTTGTATTAAATTTAAAATATGAAGAACTGAAAAAGTGTTAATGCAAATTAAATAGATTTTTATATGTAGAACTCATTCGCTATTATTATATAATTCCTTTAAAATAATATTGTTTTATGTATTTTTTTTTTATATTTTCAGATTTCTGGTGTATTTGATGAAACACAATTTTCCTCCATACACAACGTCTGAACAAAAGGTATGTGTATATGCATTGATTTTCTTTCCTTTGTATTGTTGTGGAGAGCAAAAAGATGGCGCAATCTAGTCATTATTGTTTTGTTTTTGTCAATAAAATTTCTATTTTTATATACATATGCTGCAAGCAAGCCGTGGCTATCGTGTTTGTGTTGAAATATTTGTTTATTTCATTTTCACTCTCTCATAATATGCGAAAGAGAGAGAGCAGCATCATAGTATTCCTACGGATTTCAAATATTCCTCTAATAACAATTTTGAAAGAAAAAAACTATTTTTGTCTCTTAAGTTTGGCAATATTTTCATCTGTCTAATGGTAAGAGAATTACCTATACATTTATATTCAAACAAGGAATAAAGCAACAACGGTTGCTGCACAATTGTAGTAATAAAGGATAAGGGATGCAGACAATTGCAACTCATCTATGCTTACTCGAATTTCCAGAACATATTTATTTCGCCATCTTTTTTCTCTACAACATTTTAACAATATCGATTTAAAATGATGTATTTTTTTGAAACTTGAAACCCATAATGTGAGCTATTTCAATCTAGATAGTAGAACTGATAAATAAATATAAGTTTAGTAAATATTTTTCTTTTTCGAATGAAAATTATAATATTTTTTTTATTCTTTCAGTTGTTTCATCTCCCAGTACAAACAGTTATATGGAATTAAAATAAAAGGTGAGCAGAGTAACTTATGAAAAAACAAAATATGAATAAGGATTACTAGACATATTTCAGTTCCTCCTATATCGTTTGTGAATGGTTTTTCGAAGCCGGTACAAATAAATATTTTATAATTGGAAGATTTTTAATATCCATACTCCAAAAAATTCTATTTACAGTGAACTCTCGATAATGTCGGGGTAGTTCATATTTTCGAATTCGAAAATACCCTAATACCCTGATTTTTTTCAATACTTTAATGTCAGTTTGAGTATCCAAATTATTGAGAGTTCACTCTATTTATTTTTATTGGTTCATTTTTTTAGAAATGTGTTGAAATTAACTGAAATTATGTTATTAGCAATCCTTGTCAAAAAAAAAACTAAACATTTTTATGATGAAAACTTTAACCCAGCTCGCTTTGAAAAGCCATGAAGAGAACTATCCCATTACCAACGCAAATTTAATTGCTGATTATTATTTCATAAATTAGAAGCAATAAAAAATAGTTATAAACACTTTTTAATTTTCATTTTTTTATATTTGATTGCAGATGTAAGACGGATCAAAAAAATACCTTATGTATTATTGCTCCAAGTTAAAACATCTACCATAGAATAAAAGGTAAGAATCGTAAGAAATTTCTATAAAAATACTATTTATTATTACTGAGGCGTATTTAATAAGGTGTGTGTAAAAATGTGAAACTTATATGCCTAGAATATATAAGATTTATTAATTTGAAAATATTAAAACAAGTCCAATATAAATGTAATCTGTAGGCACGGAAAAAATTCCGAAAATTTTAATGAAGTGTTAAATTCGAGATATTTTTCTTCATACACACTTATATAAATATACCTTAATTGTAATTTTTTTATGATGAAAACTTTAACCCAGCTCGCTTTGAATAGCCATGAAGAGAACTGTCCCATTACCAACGCAAAATAAATTGCTGATTTTTTAAATTCTTTTTTATATATCTCCTTCCGCACAACCCAAAACATTATTGTAATATATATTTATTTTTTTTATTTTGTAGATTTTGATTTAAAACAATGCAGTTTGTTTGCCACTATCTCTCAAGGATTCAAAGGTAAGCATATTAATGTACTATATATAAACTTATACAGAATATATATTTTATGATGAAAACTTTAACCCAGCTCGCTTTGATAAGCCATGAAGAGAACTCTCCCATTTCCAACGCAAAATTAATTGCTGATTATTAAATTTAATTTAAAAATGTGTTCAACAGCCGACAAGAGTTATATCTAATTTGTTTATTTCTGTTTCATTTTGCAGGTAATAAATGAAAAATCACTTACTTGGATGAAGAAATGACTAGTGACCATTGGACGGAGAATAAAGAAGAAGGTAATAAAAATTAAAATTTTTAATTTATATTTCAAAATTACTTCAATGATGAAAACACTAACCCAGCTCGCTTTGATAAGCCATGAAGAGAACTCTCCCATTTCCAACGCAAACTTAATTGCTGATTTTATAATTTAACATAATTGCGTATAAAAAATATATAAACAATATCTAATTGTATTTTTATTTGTTTCAGATTTCATATTTGCTGCGATTTCAATTGCATAATCCTGTTGTGGTGTCGTATCACCAAAAGGTAAATATAATAAAAACATGGCATTTTTGTGTACTATTGTATAGAGGAACTTTTCTTGTGATATTTATTTGAAAGAAATTTTCTTAAAATTTTACATGTACCTACTTTATAAGTATTAAATAGATTTGTTATATGATGAAAACACTAACCCAGCTCGCTTTGATAAGCCATGAAGAGAACTCTCCCATTACCAACGCAAAATTAATTGCTGATCAAATTTATTTACATTAAAATATTAAAACAATTCACAGAAAAAATAAGTTATTTATTTTAATTTTATTTTGTTTTAGATTATTTAAATTGATATTCTGGTGCAGAATTATCGAAAGAGGTATGTTTTATTAATATATACAATTTTAATATACTAATTCTCAAATACATTTGATTCGCGAAATTTGCCTTAAAATTAAACTGAGTTTATTTTCATTTCTATACTAGTGGTTAAGGAATAGAAATAGGATAATTGCTCAATTTAATTTTACGTGGAAAAATGTTCGAATTTGATTACCGTATCATGTTATTTCTATATGATGATTTTATTTCGGATTCCCCATCATTTGACTGTTAAATGACACAAAATCCACTCTGAACAACTAACAAAAGTCTATAGGAGAACATATAGAACTCTATAGTACAAGAAATTAATTTTTGTTCTCTTTTATTTGCAGAGATATGTTGTGCATAAATATCGCTGAAGAAGTGGCATTTTCACGATCACAATAGGTTCGTATAATAAATTGAAGTTAAATTTTCTAATTATAATCATTATGATGATATTATTTCGGATTCCCCATCATTTGACTGTTAAATGACACAAAATCCATACTGATTTATACACAATTTAAAATATATATTTAATATTTTCTTAAATAAAATATTAATAGCTCTTTTTTATTTACTTTCTAGAATTCCACGAACATTGGCCACCAGCAAATATGTGAAAATCCTCTTCAGTATTTCAAAACAGTTAGTATTTGGCAGAACACATATTTGTCATTTAAAA